TATACAGTGCAAAAACTCACTGGATTTAACTGGGGAATTTGGCTGTTTAGCTGGGACTAAAGTTCCAATGCCGGCCTTTAAAACCTCAACATTGTGCTCACGGTTTCCACTATTCCTGATCAAATCAAACTGAAGTTTACGTGCTTTAGATTTCACAGGTAGAGCCAATGCTCTGGCTACGTCACTTTCATTTCCATGTTTTCTAGTCAAATGACGGGACATTTTGTGGCAGGACATTGAACAGTAGAGGCAGAAGTGTCTCTTGCTGTAAACTCTGCCCCCATTTTTCTTCTTTTGCAGCTGCATGATAACAATCTTATTTGCCTTTGGTTCGTCACTTTCCGAGTCTTGAAGAAAAGTGTTTTTGATTTTTCTTTTTCCATACTTTTTTACAGGTTTCTTCTTGACAGTTAAATCGTCAGAATCTGAGTCGACTTCATCAATTAGGGACTCTTGACTAAGCTGCACAAACAACTAATAATTAGTAATAATTCTATATAACAATTTGAAGTCATGACTTGTAGTCAGCACTTACCAGTGGTTTGTAAGCGTGCGCTTCAGTGTGCTGCTCTGTGATTGGCTGCAGCCTAATGAACCACACACTTGCACCTTTTCTAGCCTGACACCTGATTTCCTCTGTTGTGCTGCTCCATGATTGGCTCCAGCCTCTGTTGTGCTGCTCCATGATTGGCTCCAGCCTCTGTTGTGCTGCTCCATGATTGGCTCCAGCCTCTGTTGGCGCTCCATGATTGGCTCCAGCCTCTGTTGTGCTGCTCCATGATTGGCTCCAGCCTCTGTTGTGCTGCTCCATGATTGGCTCCAGCCTGCTGGACTGAAATTGCCCCAGTGTGCCCCTCCTTGATATCCCGCAACCCACCACCAGGGTTCCGACACATAACACACTTTTTTCAGGAAAGTAAACCTCCAGGGGTCCTTTCCATATTTTTACAGAGACTGCATAAGGACCGTTAGAAAAGCATTACCCATTGATTATTAAGCTTGGACCAGTGGGGTCCGGTGTTCGGGCCCCACCACGTAAAACCAGTCCCCATGACGTGAGTGGAATCTCAGGTTATGGACCCCACCAGGAGTTGAAAACAAGTGCACACACACACACACACACACACACACACACACAGAGACACACTGTAGTGTCTGCTATTATAACTTCTACAGATACAGCATGTATCTTCAAAATGTGTTGGGAACATTTGGGTCAAAATGGTAGAAGCAGCTGACTCTAATGATCCCTTTCTCAGTCATGAGGCAGACGTGTCAGCAGCACTAATGTTAGGACAATGCACATGGCTGTCCTTAAATGTATGGTTTGCTTTTACTGGATCTTGTGACTGTGTCTTATTACTTCTTCAACTAAACTATAAGATCCTAGTCCTCTGTGTGCACGGGGTCAGTCATGCCATCCTCATTCTCAGAGCTGACCCAGGCTGAAAGCGCTAAGCCTGAATTGGACTTGATGTATTCTGATTATGTCATTAAACTCTTTCTTTAATACATAACTCAGTGCATTCCTTCTCCAACACTATACTGGTTTGTGCGGGAAACCCCATCTTCTGCTGATGAGAAGATACAACAACACACACACACACACACACACACACGCACACAGACACACACACACACACACACACGCACACACACACACACACACACACGCACACACAGACACACACATACACACACACACACACACACACACTCAGACACACACACACACGAACACACACCTTGAATCATACCAGCAACATACACAGATTACTCACATGGTCCCGTATGAATCCTCATTAGTCCTACTGGTTAGATCCGTAGCTTTTTGGCCTCAGTTAATGTAAGACATGTGGCTGATCTCCGCTGCAGGTACAGCCGCCCGTCCTGAGTCCAGCTCTCAGCTTGTCCTTTTTTACGCAGTTCCAGTGTTTTTGCTGCCTTTGCAGTCAGACTCTGGAGAATATGCATGTTTGGTGATGATCCTTTGAGCCGTTTCTTCGCCTTATAAACCAAGTCTCTGATGGTACAGTGGGAAAACTTCACGATAACTCCCCGTGGTTTATTCCTGTTGGCTTTAGGTCCAAGGCGACGGCTCCTGTCCATGTCCCCGGGTCTCACGTCGATGTTGAGATTGTGTTGAATAATCCCCATTGCAACTTGATCAGTGTTTTCACGGTCATTTTGTGGAACTCCGTAGACTACAAGGCACTAACACCTGGAGGACTGCTCTTGCTCATCCAAAGTGTCCCAATGTCGTTGTACTTGTTTTCTAGATCAGTTTATCAACAGTATTTTACCAGTCAAACTTCAATGAGTCTGACTCCGCGATGGAGTCAGTGATGGCCCGCTTTAGGCTCAGTCAAGGAACCCACAGAGAGTTGACTGATTTTGTGAATGAAGTCTCAGTCTTGGAATAATGCATCCATTTGTTTGCTGACTGTGTGTTTGAAGGAATCGCTCCAACTGTTGGGGTCCATCCGCGGAGGCCCTCGCTTTAATCTTGTCTTGTTTCATAGTGTTTGTGACGCGCCTCGGGAGTTTACCGCACCACGCCAAAATAATAACCATCCTCAAGGATTTACACTTGAAGGTTGAAAGACAGCGGTCAGATGGAGGTTTATGCTCTGGGGCAGTGTCTCCCAAAGTGGGGTCCGCTGGGGCCCCCTGGTGGGCCGCGGGGGTACTGCAGGGGGGCCGCGAGAGGTCATCTTTGGGAATGGCTGCTCCATGGCCTGCACAGAAGAGGCACGAACACAAAGATTTAGTTAAAGTAGTTCTAGAATTGAATATGCTGCTATCCAGAATATATAACTACAATATGTGTTTATAATATCTCTGGTGTTCATTTTGACATTAGTTCAGATGAATTATGTTAAAAAAACGGCTTTGAAGTGGCACCTTTTCACTTCCGCATAGAAACGCTAGGGGGCGCCAAAATGGCGGCGATGACGTAGGAGAAGGACCTCTCACAGCAGCAGCAGCAGTCTGGGCTGAATCTGTAGGAGGTTTCACTGTCATCTGAACAAGGTATAAACATATTTACATCAGTTTTGTACATAATAGTGTGCAACTCTTTTAACCTTTTAGCCTTATTTGTGAGATTCAAGCTAATTAGTGTTGGCCAAGTTAGCTAACTCTACTTGATATCATAAAACATGCTAACAAGGCTAATATTCGTGTTTACATTATGCCAGTCTCACTTTGCCTTAGATTTATTTACCACAATGTACATTGTAATATCCATAAATGCTAACACCTATTAACGGTTTAATTAGCATTTTTATCAATGATTGCATCACATGTAGTCTATGTTTTCAACTTCTGCAGCTTTTTGTTCATAAAAGTAAAATATTTATTTAATTCAAGTTATTTTGATTATTATATGTTATAATGATTATTATTATTTATGGATATTACAATGTACATTGTAGTTCTGTGTCTAAGTTGTGTGTCTTAGTTGTGTGGCTTAGTTGTGTGTCTTAGTTGTGTGGCTTAGTTGTGTGTCTTAGTTGTGTGTCTTAGTTGTGTGGCTTAGTTGTGTGTCTTAGTTGTGTGTCTTAGTTGTGTGGCTTAGTTGTGTGGCTTAGTTGTGTGGCTTAGTTGTGTGGCTTAGTTGTGTGTCTTAGTTGTGTGTCTTAGTTGTGTGGCTTAGTTGTGTGTCTTAGTTGTGTGTCTTAGTTGTGTGGCTTAGTTGTGTGTCTTAGTTGTGTGGCTTAGTTGTGTGTCTTAGTTGTGTGTCTTAGTTGTGTGGCTTAGTTGTGTGTCTTAGTTGTGTGTCTTAGTTGTGTGGCTTAGTTGTGTGGCTTAGCTGTGTGGCTTAGTTGTGTGGCTTAGCTGTGTGTCTTAGTTGTGTGTCTTAGTTGTGTGGCTTAGTTGTGTGTCTTAGTTGTGTGTCTTAGTTGTGTGGCTTAGTTGTGTGTCTTAGTTGTGTGGCTTAGTTGTGTGTCTTAGTTGTGTGTCTTAGTTGTGTGGCTTAGTTGTGTGGCTTAGTTGTGTGTCTTAGTTGTGTGTCTTAGTTGTGTGTCTTAGTTGTGTGGCTTAGTTGTGTGTCTTAGTTGTGTGGCTTAGTTGTGTGTCTTAGTTGTGTGGCTTAGCTGTGTACTTAGTTTTGTGGCTTAGTTGTGTGGCTTAGTTGTGTGTCTTAGCTGTGTAGCTTAGTTTTGTGGCTTAGTTGTGTGGCTTAGTTGTGTGTCTTAGTTGTGTGTCTTAGATGTGTGTCTTAGTTGTGTGGCTTAGTTGTGTGTCTTAGTTGTGTGTCTTAGTTGTGTGGCTTAGTTGTGTGTCTTAGTTGTGTGGCTTAGTTTTGTGGCTTAGTTGTGTGGCTTAGTTGTGTGTCTTAGTTGTGTGAACCCAGTTGTGTGAGAGAGTATTGGTTGTTTGTGTGTTTGTGACACTTTGTTGTGTGTTTATTGTGTATTTTGATAATCTTTGTGTAGTTTTAAGTCCAGTGATTTTGAGACCGTGACTTTGGTTTCTGTGGCACATTTTGTTCAGTCACCATCAGTGCAGACTCAACTGGTCTCTGGCGCCCTCTGGTGTACAAGCCACGCTACAGCACTGAGACAGTCTTTACAAACAATCACTGGCCTTAAAGCATGAATGTAGAATCTACTGAAGACAGCAGGAGCGGGTCTTCACACTGAGGGAAAGAGAAGCTTCTGAGTCCTTCTTCACAGGGACAAACATCTCTGTGGAGGATGTGTTTCCTTCAGGACCTGAGGCTGGAGCAGTGGAGGACCCTGCAGTAAAGATAAATGTCTTTGTTGTGGATCAGATGGAACAGTTGCAGACGCTGGTTTCAAAGCCTTCTCTCTGGAGCCGCTTTCAGAGCCTGGATTGGCTTCATGTGGAAGACTGAATGAGACAGAATATATTTGCAGATCTGAGATCAGCTCCGTGTGAACGTGGCCAAAGAGCTTTCTGACAGATCTGTTGAAGCTCACTCACATTTGTTAGGGCACTTTTTATCAACACATGTTGACACCAAGACCACAATGCAACAGGAGAAAGTGATGATGATGAGGTGAAGAAGCCCAGGGCCTGTAGAGCCAGAAGGCAACACTTCAGAGTCACCACAAACGTACAACTTCATCTGTGGCAAAATGTCTGGTGTCTCTGGTGCTGAAGCTGGGAGTCCCAGGTTTAGTGCTGTGTAGAAGCTCTTTATAGAAACAGTCCTTTTCTCTCCTGTTTGAGTCTGTGTTCTTCTATTGTGCACACTAAATAAATGCTGAGTGTGTTTCACAGGGATCCAGGTCCAAAGGAGCCGCTGGACGCCATCTTGAGGGTGAGTGTCCACCACCGCAGCTTGTGTGGCCTTCTCTGGCTGCTCCTCAGCGTCTCTCTGTGAACTCTTATTGTTCTGTTCCAGCGTCTGCAGGAGGACGTGGTGACTTTTGTCAAAGAGCAGCTGCAGAGGATCCAAAGGCTCCTGGCCTCAGATTACCCAGAATGCTCTGAGAGTGAGGTGCAGAGCAGAGAGGTTCTGAAGATCGCCCTGGACTTCCTGAAGAGGATGAAGCAGGATGAGCTGGTCCAGCGCCTGCAGAGCAGTAAGAACTCTCTGTGTCTGTAGCAACACAACATGTGTTTACTAGAGACACACACATTTCTGGCTCTCAGGCTCTGAACACTCACCACACATCAGTAATGGGCCCAGATTTCACCCAAATCAGAACATTCTTTTGGATCATGGAAGTTACCGACTCAGCCACAAACACATGGTGTTAACTTAAGCTCCGCCCACATGTTCTCCCTCATTTTAAAGATCAGAATGGACAGAATTCACTTGTTATGTTATAATCTAAGTATCTATATTTGACAAGTGTATTTCACTTGTCAAACGTGAAATGGGGCTAGCTGTTAGCCTTGTTTGTTAGCATCTTTGGCTAATGCTAATGGCGGGGTCAGTTCAGTGGTCACATGGTCACAGCTGTTTGTCTTTATTCAGGAAGCACTGTTGGAGTTTGTAGAGATGAACTGAAGAAGCATATGCAGCAGAAGTTCAGCCGTGTGTTTGAGGGCGTGGCTAAAGCAGGAGACTCCGCCCCCCTGACCCAGATCTACACAGAGCTCTACATCACAGAGGGCGGGGCCTCAGAGGTCAACCAGGAACATGAGGTCAGACTGATGGAGAGCGCGTCCAGGAGACCAGCCGCTCCAGAGACCACCATCACCTGTGAAGACATGTTTAAGCCCCGCCCACACTCACCACAGCCAATCAAAGCGCTGCTGACGAAGGGCGTGGCCGGCGTGGGGAAGACTGTGCTGACTCAGAAGTTTAGTCTGGACTGGGCTGAAGGCAGAGCTCATCAGGACCTCCAGCTGCTGTTCCCCTTCTCCTTCAGAGAGCTCAATGTTGTGAAGGACAGAAGCTTCAGCCTGGTGGGACTCATACAGCACTTCTTCAGTCCATCCAAAGGTCTCTGCAGCTTTGAAGACCTCCAGGTGCTCCTCATCTTTGACGGTCTGGACGAGTGCAGACTTCCTCTGGCCTTCAGCAGCTCTCGTGTCCTCTCAGACCCCACAGAGTCCGTCTCTCTGGACCTGCTGCTGGTGAACCTCATCAGAGGAAGCCTGCTTCCCTCCGCTCGCCTCTGGATCACCACACGCCCAGCGGCGGCCAATCAGATCCCTGCAGAGTGCGTCTCCATGGTGACAGAGGTCCGAGGCTTCACCGACCCGCAGAAGGAGCAGTACTTCAGGAAGAGGTTCAGAGACGAGCGACAGGCCACAGTGATCATCTCCCACATCAAGAGCGTCCGCAGCCTCCACATCATGTGCCACATCCCAGTCTTCTGCTGGATCCTCTCCACAGTTCTACAGAAGCTTCTGGAACAAGCAGAGGAACCAGAGCTGCCCCGGACCCTCACACAGATGTACACACACTTCCTGGTGGTGCAGGCCAAAGTCCAGAACATCAAGTATCAGCAGGGATCAGGGGCGGAGCTTCACTGGACTCCACAGACCAGGGAGATGGTGACGTCTCTGGGAAAACTGGCCTTTGAGCAGCTGCAGAGAGGAAACCTGATCTTCTACGACTGTGACCTGAGCGAGTGTGGGCTGGACGCTGCAGCCGCCTCAGTGTACTCCGGAGTCTTCACACAGGTCTTTAGAGAGGAGCCAGGCCTGTACCAGGACAAGGTCTACTGCTTCATCCATCTGAGTGTGCAGGAGTTTCTGGCTGCTCTTCACGTCCATCAGACCTTCTACAGCTCTGGACACAACCTGCTGAACGTCGGACAAACCTCCTTCTTTATAAGATTGTTTTATGAGAACCTGCTGAAGACACCACAGTCCTCTGAGTCTGAGGGAACCTTCTACATCTGTGCTGTGGACCAGGCCTTACAGAGTCCAAACGGACACCTGGACCTGTTCCTGCGCTTCCTCCTGGGGCTGTCTCTGCCGACCAATCAGAGGCTGCTGTCAGGTCTGACTCAGACAGGAAGTGGCTCAGGGACCAATCAGGAGACAGTAAAGTACATCAAAGAGAAGCTGAATGAAAAGGGTCTGTCTGCAGAGAGAAGCATGAACCTGCTGCACTGTCTGATGGAGCTGAACGACCTCAGTCTGGTGCAGGACATACAGAACTACATGAGAGCAGGAATACTCTCCAGGTTAAGTCCTCCTGCTCATTGGTCGACTCTGTCCTTCGTCTTACTGTCCTCAGACTCAGACCTGCAGGACTTTGACCTGAGGAAATACCGGGCCTCAGAGACAGCTCTCCTGGGTCTGCTGCCGGTGGTCAGAGCCTCCACCAAAGTCCTGTGAGTCCAGACTGTGTTGAAGGTCTTCTGTGGAGGGTCTAGTCTCTAATGTGTCTCTGTCCTCAGGTTGAGGGACAGTGGACTGTCCCCTCACAGCTGTGGTCCTCTGGCCTCAGTCCTCAGCTCCTCCAGTCTCACACACCTGGATCTGAGTAACAACGACCTCCAGGACTCAGGAGTGGAGCTGCTGTGTTCTGGACTGAAGAGCGCCCCCTGTGGACTGCACACTCTCAGGTGAGACTCCCATGATGCATCTGTGTCCTCTGTGTCCACATGAGTGTAACGCTGTGTGTCTTTAGGCTGTCTGGATGTCTGATCTCAGAGAGGGGCGGGGCTGCTCTGGCCTCAGCTCTAAGCCCCGCCCCCTCCCATCTGAGAGAGTTGGACCTGAGCTACAACCATCCAGGAGGTTCATCAGAGCTGCTGAAGGCTCTACAGGACGACCCACACTGCCCCCTGCAGGAACTCAGGTCTGACTCTGAACTGACCTGGTCTAGGTCTTGGTCTCTGGTCCTGGTCCAGGTATTCGTCTCTGGTCCTTGTCACTGGTCCTGGTCCTGGCTTCTTGTCCTGGTCTCTGGTCCTTTTCTGGTGTTGGTCCAGGTCGCCACTGGGGCGACAGTAGCTCAGTTGGTAGAGCATTGGCCTTTGAGCCTGAAGGTCGTGGGTTCAAGCCCACCGTAAGACCTACTTCACGACTCCCACTGATGACTGCTGTCGTTGTGTCCTTAGGCAAGACACTTAACCCCACTTTGCCTGAAGCCCCCACTGAAAGATCTCAGCTCCTGTGGACTCACCACCTGCAGGAGGATCAGTGAGAGGCTGGTGCTCTGTGAACTGGGTGGCATCTCTGGCCACCCCCCCGACCCAGAAATGGATTAAGGGGAAGAAAATGGATGGATGGATGGTCCAGGTCCAGGTCTTGGTTTCTGCTCCAGGTGCTGGTTCTGGTTCTTCTCCAGGTCCTGGTCTTGGTCTCTGGTCCTGGTCTTGGTCCTGGTCCTGGTCCAGGTCCTTGTCCTGGTCCTGGTCCTGGTCTTGGTCCTGGTCCTGGTCCTGGTCTCTGGTCTGGATCTTGGTCTCTGGTCCTGGTCTCGGTCTCTGATCTCTGGTCCTGGTCCTTCTCCTGGTCTCTGGTCCAGGTCCTGGTCCTGGTCGAGATCCTGGTCCTAGTCCAGGTCCTGGTCTCTGGTCCTGGTCTTGGTCCTGGTCCAGGTCCTGGTCTTAGTCTCTGGTCCTGGTCCTGCTCCTGGTCTCTGATCTTGGTCTCTGGTCCAGGTCTTGGTCTCTGGTCCTGGTCTTGATCCTGGTCTAGGCCTTAGTCCAGGTCTTGGTCTCTAGTCCTGGTCCTGGTCCTGGTCTTGGTCTTGGTCTCTGGACCGGGTCTTGTTCCTGGTCCTGGTCTTGGTATTTGTCTCTGGTCCAGGTCCTGGTCTTGGTCTCTGGTCCTGGTCTTGATCCTGGTCTAGGCCTTAGTCCAGGTCTTGGTCTCTAGTCCTGGTCCTGGTCCGGGTCCAGGTCCTGGTCCTGGTCTCTGGTCTTGGTCTTGGACTTGATCCTGGTGCTGGTCCTGGTCTTGATCCTGGTCTAGGCCTTAGTCCAGGTCTTGGTCTCTTGTCCTGGTCCTGGTCCAGAACCAGGTCCTGGTCCTGGTCTCTGGTCTAGATCTTGGTCTCTGGTCTTGGTCTTGGTCCTGGTCTTGGTCCATGTCTTGGTCTCTGGTCCAGGTCCTAGTCCTGGTCCTTCCTGGTCTGGTCTTGGTCTTGGTCTTGGACTTGATCCTGGTGCTGGTCTAGGTCTTGGTCCATGGTCCTGGTCTTGATCCTGGTCTAGGCCTTAGTCCAGGTCTTGGTCTCTTGTCCTGGTCTCTGGTCTCTGGTCCTGGTCCATGTCTTGGTCTCTGGTCTAGATCTTGGTCTCTGGTCCTGGTCTTGGTCTCTGGTCTTGGTCTTGGACTTGATCCTGGTCCTGGTCCTGATCTTGGTCCTGGTCCTGGTCCTGGTCTCTGGTCTCTGGTCCTGGTCCATGTCTTGGTCTCTGGTCTAGATCTTGGTCTCTGGTCCTGGTCTTGGTCTCTGGTCTTGGTCTTGGACTTGATCCTGGTCCTGGTCCTGATCTTGGTCCTGCTCCTTGTCCTGGTCTTGGTCTCTGGTGCTGATCCTGGTCTCTGTTCCTGGTCCTGGTCCTGGTCTTGGTCTCTGGTCCTGGTCTTGGTCTCTGTTCCTGGTCTCTGGTCCTGGTCTTAGTCTCTGTTCCTGGTCTCTGGTCCTGGTCTTGGTCTCTGTTCCTGGTCTCTGGTCCTGGTCTTGGTCTCTGTTCCTGGTCTCTGGTCCTGGTCTTAGTCTCTGGTCCTGGTCTCTGGTCTGGTCTGGTCCTGGTCTCTGGTCCTGGTCTTGGTCTCTGGTCCTGGTCTCTGGTCCTGGTCCTGGTCCTGGTCTCTGGTCCTGGTCCTGGTCTCTGGTCCTGGTCTCTGGTCCTGGTCTCTGGTCTTGGTCTCTGGTCTGGTCTTGGTCTTGGTCTCTGGTCCTGGTCCTGGTCTCTGTTCCTGATCCTGGTCCTGGTCCTGGTCTCTGGTCCTGGTCCTGGTCCTGGTCCTGGTCCTGGTCTCTGGTCCTGGTCCTGGTCCCTGGTCTCTGGTCCTGGTCCTGGTCCATGTCCTGGTCCTGGTCCCTCTCTGGTCCTGGTCCATGTCCTGGTCCTGGTCCTGGTCCATGTCCTGGTCCTGGTCCTGGTCCTGGTCCTCCTGGTCCCTGGTCCTGGTCCCCTGGTCCTGGTCCTGGTCCTGGTCCTGGTCCTGGTCCTGGTCCCTGGTCTCTGGTCCTGGTCCTGGTCCATGTCCTGGTCCTGGTCCTGGTCCTGGTCCTGGTCCTGGTCCTGGTCTAAAGTGCCTTGTGTGTTGCAGGTTGGATCCTGCTGGAGAACAGTGGATGGTTCCAGGTCTGAGGAAGTGTGAGTTTCTCATTCACTTTATATAAAGTTATTTATATAAAGTTATTTATATAAAAGTTATTTATATAAAGTTATTTATATAAAGTTATTTATATAAACTTATCTTTACTCTGTGGTTAAAGCGTCTGGAGCTGATGTTTCTTCTTGTTTTGTGTTTTTCCTCAGATTCCTGTGAGTTTTCTCTGGATCCAAACTCGGCTCACAGAATCCTCAAACTGTCTGAGGACAAACGGACAGTGACCAGAGGGACAGAGGAGCAGCAGTGTCCAGGGCATCAGGACAGATTTACAGACCAGGCACAGGTCCTGAGCAGCACTGGCCTGAGGGGGCGCTGTTACTGGGAGGTGGACTGGACCAGGAGGAGGGAGGTGGGGGGCATTGAGATCGCAGTGAGTCACAGAGGAATCAGACGCAGAGGGACGAGAGAAGAGAGTGGGTTTGGAACCAATGATCAGTCCTGGAGTCTGTGGGTCTTTATGGGAGGTTACTATTTATATCACAACAACAGACGAACAGTCTGCTCCTCCTCCTCCCCCTCCTCCTTCTTCTCTCTCTCAGGTCGAGTGTGTGTGTTCCTGGACTCTGAGGCTGGATCTCTGTCCTTCTATGAGGTCGTCTCTGATGGAGAACTGTTCCACCTCCACACCTTCACCTCCTCCTTCTCTGAGCCTGTGTTTCCTGGGTTTAGACTGTGGTCTGACGGTTGCTCTGTGTCTGTGGTGGATCTGAGGAGAGCGCCCCCTGCTGGACTGAGGTCTGAAGGTTCCTCTGTGTCTGTGGTGGATCTGAGGAGAGCGCCCCCTGCTGGACTGAGGTCTGAAGGTTCCTCTGTGTCTGTGGTGGATCTGAGGAGAGCGCCCCCTGCTGGACTGAGGTCTGAAGGTTCCTCTGTGTCTGTGGTGGATCTGAGGAGAGCGCCCCCTGCTGGACTGAGGTCTGAAGGTTCCTCTGTGTCTGTGGTGGATCTGAGGAGAGCGCCCCCTGCTGGACAATACAATAAAAACAAATGCAGCGTTTCTTAACTCGCTGTAATGTCTTCATAAAAGCAGAAAGTAAATATCAATATATCTGTACATTGATGGTGTCGATGGTGATGTCACACTCTGTCGATGGTCCCTGTTTATGGTCCGTCACCTTTAGCTTCAATCAGGAACTTGTGGCACTTATAACATATTCCCCATAAGCCTTAAAGGTCCCATATTCCACTTTTGGACCTTTCTCTGCTTAAAACATCATCACAGTTCTAGTAGTTTTTTCATTGATTCGCTCGAGCTTTAGTTGGAGAGCGATCTTTCTCTTTCATTCTCCAGAGGAAACAAAACGACTGGATTCAGATGGACATAGGATCGAGGACATGGGGCTCTTTGCCACGGATCATTGTTGGAAAAACTTTATTCTTATTTAAAGCTGAACATTTAGCTTCACTTCTGCAATGGCTGCTCACAGGAAGTATGACCATATTAGTCCTGACTAGAACCAGGAAGTATGACCATATTAGTCCTGACTAGAACCAGGAAGTATGACCACATTAGTCCTGACTAGAACCAGGAAGTATGACCACATTAGTCCAGACTAGAACCAGGAAGTACGACCACATTAGTCCTGACTAGAACCAGGAAGTATGACCACATTAGTCCAGACTAGAACCAGGAAGTACGACCACATTAGTCCTGATTAAAACCAGGAAGTATGACCACATTAGTCCTGACTAGAACCAGGAAGTATGACCACATTAGTCCTGACTAGAACCAGGAAGTATGACCACATTAGTCCTGACTAGAACCAGGAAGTATGACCACATTAGTCCTGATTAAAACCAGGAAGTATGACCACATTAGTCCAGACTAGAACCAGGAAGTACGACCACATTAGTCCTGACTAGAACCAGGAAGTATGACCACATTAGTCCTGACTAGAACCAGGAAGTATGACCACATTAGTCCAGACTAGAACCAGGAAGTATGACCACATTAGTCCTGACTAGAACCAGGAAGTATGACCACATTAGTCCTAGACTATGACCATATTAGTCCTGACTAGAACCAGGAAGTATGACCACATTAGTCCTGACTAGAGCCAGGAAATTAAAACTTTGAAAAGAAACCTTATTTTAGGTGCACTTTGGCTACATTTATGATTTTAATGTTTTAATGTTTTTAATAACTTTAATGTTCTTAATAACCTGTGATTTTAATGATTTTAAAAACTTGTGTGATTTTATTTTGATGTTTTAAATGTTCTTGTGATCCCATTGTGTGTTTAATGCCCTTTGGGATTGTAAGTGTTTAATGTTCTGTAGATCTGACTATGATGTTCTGTAGATCTTTATCTTGATGGTATTGTTGATGGTCTTTGTTGATAGTTGGTGAATAAACCAGAACTACAGTATAAACACATGTTTCCATGACAACAGTACATCAGGATTGTTGTTGTTTGTTTGTTTGATGAAGACAATGCACATTAATAAACAATAAATGATTTGAAAGATTCCTCAGTTTCTGTTGAATTCAGGGTTCAGAGCTTTAAACGACTCAAATGCATGTACAGTGATGATTGGACTTTTTTTGTGAAGAGCATGAGTTGTGCTTTACAAATAAACGTGCCTAATTAATAAAATAAATAAATAAATAAATAAATAAAACATAAATAAAAAATAATTCATGATTGTCATGATTGTCAAGTCATGATTGTTGACTATGGAACTGAATGACTTACACAAATATTTGTTTATCCTAAAAATGTACGTTTATGAAGGCTGTGTACAGGGAATCAGGACAAGACCAGGACAAGACCAGAGAAAGACCAGGGTGAGACCACGGCAGGACCAGGGTGAGACCAGGGCAGGACCAGGAAAAGACCAGTACAGGACAAGAGAAGGACAAGGACTGGACGAAGACAACATTAGGACAGGACAAGACCAGAGACCAAGACCAGGAGAGACCAGGACAGGACCAGGAGAGACAGGACAGGACCAGGAGAGACCAGGACAGGACCAGGAGAGACCAGGACAGGACCAGGAGAGACAGGAGAGGACCAGGAGAGACAGGACAGGACCAGGAGAGACCAGGACAGGACCAGGAGAGACCAGGACAGGACCAGGAGAGACAGGACCAGGACCAGGAGAGACCAGGACAGGACCAGGAGAGACCAGGACGTCAGTGTCTGTGGCTACAGCAGTGGTATTGACCCGAACCCAAACCACTGCATCATCATTATTTTCATATTAAAAACACTTTCTGAGTCTTGGATTATTTCTGCAACACACACAGGTCACTTATGGAACTACACATCTCCCACATGGTTTAATGGTTCAATCTGGCCCTTCACCACCAGATGGCGCCTGAGTCTTACATGTGGACCATTCCCAGAGAGACTTTCTTCCTGGTCTCTGTCACAGACAGCGACACATGCACAGACAGCGACACACGTACAGTCTACACATAGGTGTAGACTGTACGTGTCTTTGGTGTGGGAGTAAAACGGATAAATGATACAAACAATAAACATCTCACATTCACTGATGGTTCCAGATCTCACACCATCAATACTTTGGCTCCAGGTCCCTGTACACACCAGAACAAAGCTCACTCTGTTATAGAAATCTGAATAAACATGAAATACTAACATGAATAAGGGTGTAATAAGGTGTAACAGTGTAATAACTTTATGTTTGATCTTTTTACTGTTGTGTATCTTTTGTTTATGGTGCAGTCACTCACAATGTCTTCAACTGTTGTACCATTTATAGTCATTTATGTTTTGAATGTTCTGTGATGACTAAACATCTAGGATCTTATGAAGTGTGCCATACAAATAAAGCTGGCTAACATCAAAGGCCTAAATGTCCGTCTGAACACACCACACAACACCACGTCTCCCAGATAACTCTTTATTCTTCATTATCATTTCAAAACAAACGTGGTACACTGGTGTGTGATGCCACATGGTCATTCAGCACACACACACACATGGTGTTCAAAGCTCTTTTCTATGGGACAGTCACCCACACAACACTGAAATGGTTCATCAGCGACGGGGAGCGAGGGGAGGGGTCGGGGGTCATAGCACGCCGATACATTGTACCAAACACCAATTATTTCACTTGTATTTCTGCACTCACACTCAGCGCTTGAGGCCGCTCCATTCCAACCCAGGCCAGTCTATTTACAATGGAACTTCATTCATAAAATATTGCACTTGTCGGCCCTTTGCATCTCCCAGCGAGCGCCGAGAGAATGCTGCTAAATGTTTCTACATAGATGTATATATATGTACATTATTTGGATAGAATCTACATTAGAATGGGTTTACTCATGCTTTTCTTTTTCTTAGTCATAAACTATGCCACGGACAACGCTGTGGAAGGAGAAGAGACATGTTTGGCACCACTTTTATTTTCCATGGAGGAAAGAAATGAAGCTCAAGCGGATGTTCAGACTGAAAGACCGAGTGCCTGCCAGCCTCGAGCCTCAGCCAATCACACAGCTCTGCCAGCCTCGAGCCTCAGCCAATCACACAGCCAGGCCAGCCTCCTGCCAACCCTCTCAGAGCAAAGCGGGCAGTTTAAAAGGCAGCCACTTCCTGACAAACAACGCTTTCCGAGGCTCTTAAACAACCATGGGCATGGTTCTCTGACCGCCGCTGCTGCCGGTCCCTGCTGCTCCTAGTGATGGCAATATGAAGCCCCATGAAGCCTTGAGGGATCGCAGCCTATTACTCGGCCCATGAGTCGAAGACTCGCGGTGAATCATGCTCCACTACGCCATCATGTGGACAAAGAAATACATAACACTCTTAAGTGCTTACAATGAATGGTGAGATCTAATGTTAAAATGTATATTTACAATCTATGGTCTAACGTGTTGTGTTTGAAATGATGCTTCATGAACTATGAACTATTTGAGTCTTTCAGTCAATTGTGTTGATACAACAAACACATCCAAAGTAATACAGTTCTACAGAAAGTGATTAATGGAGGAAAAACTACCAAGAGGTGGATTAATTAAACACAACAAACCATTTATTCCCAATAAATAAATACATTTACTTTGCAACACAAAATGTATTATGGGTAGACCAGGATTCGAACGCTATATCTTCTGCTTCGGAGTCCGTCATATACCGACTGCGCCACACAGCTGTTGTGAAATGTATTATCCAGCGTATTATTACTGCGTAACTTGAAGCCTTGATATATGAGGTTTTACTAAAGTGAAACGTTTTTAATTGTATTTCATATGAAGTAGTTTATCTATACTTAGTACAGGACTGCTCCACATCACGCACACACACGTACGCACACAGAGGCAGACGGGGACAGCCAATACAGTCTATGGTACAGCCGCGGATCACAAAGCACCTGTCAAAGCAATGCACTCTCCGAACTATATGAAGCACTATATGAACCGTCACGTGGTGCGGCCGCTACGCGAGGCTTCGAACGTCACCACATACGTCACCAATACACGCCTCGACCCACACTTCACAAGAAACGCCCCCAGATTACTCGGTCCACGCTTCGAAGACTCGGTCCGCTCAGCACATCACTAGCTGCTCCTACTAATGCCTGTTCCCTGATGCCTGCTCCCCGTTCCTGCTGCTACTACTTATGCCTGCTCCCCGTTCCTGCTGCTACTACTGATGCCTGTTCCCGCTGCTGCTGCTGCCTGTTCCTACTGATGCCTGCTCCCCGTTCCTGCCGCTCCTACTGATGCCTGTTCCCGCTGCTGCCTGTTCCCGCTCCTGCTGCTCCTACCGCTGCCTGTCCCTGCTGCCTGCTCCTGCTGCTCCTACTGATGCCTGTTCCGCTGCCGCTCCTGCTGCTGCCTGTTCCTGCTGCCGCTCCTGCTGCAGCCTGTTCCTGCTGCCTGCTCCTGCTGCTCCTACTGATGCCGGTTCCCGCTGCTGCCTGTTCCGCTGCCGCTCCTGCTGCTGCCTGTTCCGCTGCCGCTCCTGCTGCTGCCTGCTCCTGCTGCCGCTCCTGCTGCTGCCTGCTCCTGCTGCTCCTACTACTACATGTGCC